GTGGCCGATCTCAAACATATGCCCCTCCCCTTCCTACCATCTCTCTTTTGACTGATGATGTCGGTAATATCGTTGCGTTGAACCTAGTTCGGTATGACACCCTTATAACCGTCCCCAAAATCACATCTTGCGTTGAGAGAGGTGTGCAATGGGAAGCTGCCGTGGAAACGGTAGAAAAGGCCGCTAATAGCCAAATCTTCCCTAGTTCTCAGGAGAAACTCCTTTCTCGTTTCTTCAAGAATATAATCTGCCTCTGATGATCACAAAATATGGCCGCCCCGAAAGCACAAAAATACGATCCCTCGTCCGACCTCGTCGCACGAACGATTGACCCTGGCAGGTAGTCTCACTAATCGAACTTTTTGTAAAAGTTTGTACCTGAACAGCTGAGTGTTCCTTCTGTTGCGGTTGTCGTTTACCATGGTATCCAGAGTAGCTGCGCAAGTGTCGACTGCATTCTGAACAAACAGACGTAGATCAGATCTGGAGCCGTATCCTGTCCTGCCACCAGGGGGGAGTGTCCTCGTCAACTGGAGTTTATCCTAAGCTGGGGGGAGAGACGCGTGTTTGGTCATAGGGTCCGACACTGAACGCGGGATATTCCAACTGCCCTCCTCTATTGAGGCCCTTCTTCTCTGGAGGATCGCGCTGCCTGGAGTCTAAAAACACAGGTATGGCTGGCCCTATGACACGACCCTGTCTCCCCGAACCATAGGATAGGGTCAGCAGGGGGATGCGTTCCTTCGGGGAAAGATATGATACGGCCAGGGGGTGCGAGCAGAGATTCCTTAGGGCTGGCGGGGGTACCCCCCAGGAGGCCCGTCGCGCGGCAAGAAGGCAAAGTCAGCGGACGAGTCGCGCGCGCACTATAGGGATTTCGCGTCAAGTTAAATAGAGTCCCCACTGCACGTCCTACATCGCACACCACGCGCTGCAACTCGTCCGCCGACTCTGCCTTCTTGCCGCGCGACGGGCCTCCTGGGGGGTACCCCAGGCGTGCCATTCCAAGGCCTTAAGTACCGTAATAACGTCAAACCAAAAAAGATGGTTGTGTGACGTCTGATACGACCTTTTTTACGGCAAACAACTGACGAACCTCTGCAACAATGGGTTTCAGCCTTTTTTCAAGATTGCCAGAACACTTAGGGGCAAATCATGCAAGTTACGAAATATGACCCTTTCAACTGGGTCTGGCAGGGGGTGGTTACTCCTAGCTGCACTTAGGAATGGCGCCGTTGGCCCGGGTGTGAAGCTGTTGAAAGGCAGGTCAATGTTACCTATGGGGGACATCTGACTTCGATAATGGGGAGCGACTTCCAGTCGGATCTGCAGTAGGCCAATGTCAGACTTCGCGAATTGAGCAACCACAAGCGTCCGCGGTCGCGTTGCAGTACTGTCAATAGAGCGAACCGCGACGCGACCGGATCGCTCGGACTTGCAAAGTCCATCGACCTTAAGTCGTGCTTTCTCTGATTCATCCCATTTGGGCCATCATCTACTCACAATCTCAAACAAACATGTACTTCACCTGCACATCCTCATTGGTTGGCAAGTCAGGAACGACTGGAGGCAGATCGGGAATCTGAAATCATAAGCAGGATTGCCTACGATCGCAGTTTTCCGGTGAACTTCTTACCTGTGGTAGTTCGCACCGGTGTCCTTGTAGGCCCGTACGGGGTGGTTGTGACCGGAGGATTGGTGCGAGTTGGTGGAACTGTAGGATACGTGGGATTTGTTCCCGGTGTCCGTGTAGTCACGTATGGTGTGGTTGTGACCGGTGGTGTCGGAGGATTGGTGCGAGTTGGTGGAACTGTAGGATACGTGGGACTTGTTCCCGGTGTCCGTGTAGTCACGTATGGTGTGGTTGTGACCGGTGGTGTGCTGCGAGTGGGCGAAGGTGTGGGATACGTAGTTGTTGCTGGTGTCCTTGTAGGCTCATATTGCGTGGTTGTGATCGGCGGTGTACCAGGAGGGCTCGGTCGAGTGGGTGGTGGTGTGCTACGAGTTCCTGAAAAATCTGTGAAATATCAGCGGCACAGAAATTGATCGTTACCTTTTCAACCGTCATCGGAATATATTCATTGATCGGCTAATACCTGAGTAGAGACCAGCTTCCAGAAAACTTGGGTTGTGTAACAAAAAGTAGATAAACCAGACAAATTGCTCCACCAACTAAGAACGGCCATGCACCACCAACCACCAAATCGAGAAAGAGCTTTCAATCTGTCAATCCTTACGGTGTCCGGGCCGGGTGAGTTTTCCCGTGATATTACCTCGAAGAGGGTTTCGATAAAGCTATAGAAGAAGGTGTCATGATAAGAAGTGTTAACGGTATCAGAGGTATAGGTGAACCGTTTCGGTGCAGAATAGACACCCGAGCAATTATTGGCGTTCTACCGCTCCTGCGTGCTCCTCATTGTAAGCCACATAAGGTCTGCACCGGGCCTGCTCAAACGCACTCCCAGTCAGCGATCATACTTTGCGACTACCTTGCTGTTCGTTAGCAGTTTGAGTGTGGAATGAATACATATCGATTTTGTGATCGCACGAGCGCAAAATCGCATCTACTCCATGCTTCAATTGCAAGGCGTTTGCAAAGTGTGATAGCGGCCTCAGCCTTAGCTAGATGAGTTGTGGAAAATGGCTCAATCCCGAACAATCAGACGTTCTACAAAAACAGAGCCCTTTCCCTCTCTAGGAGAAATCTCTATGTCCATGAAGAAGACGAAACTCTCTACAAGAATATATATCACAAAAATTATTCTGACCTGGTGGCAAATAAGGTGGAGTCGTCAGTGGCGGTCGTGGCGACGGAGGCTGGTCTGATGGCGGGCACATGCATGGTGTCGGATTAGGTGTACATTGAGGTGGAGCTGGTGGTGTTCCTTGGTCATAGTAATCGTATGGAACATCTACAGGTGGCGGTGGTGGTGGTGTTCGTGGTGAGCTACCTCCTGGTGGCGGATATGGGCTGCCTCCGGGTGGAGGAGGTGGTGGTGGTCTTGGAGGATTACCAGGTCCTGGAGGCGGTGGTGGTGGAGGTCTTGGAGGTTGAGGCTGGCCGGGTCTTGGAGGCGGTTGCTGATCTAGCGTAGGCGGCTGGTATGGAGGAAACAGTTCACCATCAGACTAAAAGAATTGTTTTGCATCTCCTGAAGCGAGAAATAATAGAGTGATTTACCTGAGCACGTATTCCCGTGAGGGAAACTAGGAGCCCCAGGAGAAGGATCATTGCTCAGTGACACTGCTGTTTTTTCAAGTTTAAATACATAAAAATTTAAAATTCAACATAACAATTCCGAGTCGGATTAAATTTATGAACAGCGTCAGAATAGTGTTATGATATGAGGATTTCGTCTGGGTTGGGTTTTAGTCTTTCATATTTCATAAAATATTTACGCATTACAGCCCTGTTTGACGTACATGGGCGCGTGACTTGTGATAGATTACCCGCATAAGTTTCATTTCTCAAAAGTGCCCAAATATAATGCACTGTTAAAGGACACAACCCAGGCAGAGGTCGTGTGAACGCTTCTCTTCGGTCTGTAGTATAGACCCCTAGAGGACAATCACAAATGTGGCGTTCTCGTGCACGGAAACCAACCGATAAGAGCGCTTGGGCCTTGCAAAGTAAGCTGCCCAAGCTGCAGACTTTTTTCCTGTTGTCTGGCGATCTCTCATCTGTAGCGCTCTCTCGCCCCATACTCTCCTCTCCGCGCTTAGTCTCTCATTCCCTTAGCACAGCCGATTAGGAAGGTGAGTGAGCCCTTAACCTAAGCGTTTTTGACGGATTCTTTTCCTTTTTTCTTTACTGTCGGCCCATTTCCCACCAATACATTTGCACTCGTGGACAAGAGCCACCCCAATGTGACTGGGGGCATACCTCCAAACTAGAAAACGTCTCGGCTTCTGATT